GCGCATCCGTAGAAGAAGTGCAAATACGTAGCCATCCCAGCTGAAATATCCGCAAATGATGTTGGGATTAGAGATTCAATCTAGATTTTTCCTTACAAAATTAAGATTTTACGAATTAACAGTCAAATAATATGCTACACTATGAGATTAACTTGCTGAAGTGCGAATTTACTTCTCAATATTTCCATTTTCTTGTTTCTGAGCATATTTTCGATTGTTCTATCTTGTAATCAAGAAGAATTTTGCTTTCGAGTTCCAGTTTTGCTAGCAATTATCTCCTTTAATTCCCAATCATGGTCGCTTGTTTGACTTGCACGAAGTTGTGATTCTAGAACGGAAGCAATTCTATGCTGAAGCATCCATGAAAGACGAAACTCATCGAAAATGACACGCGAATTGTAGTACAAAGTTCAGACCTCCCAATATTCACTTTTATCTACCATAGAAATAATTGCAATTTGCGACTCAAATCTAAGGTACAAGCCTTAAGAAAATTAGCATTTCAGTAAGTTTCTTTTTAAATTGAAGAAAACATCAAATTTTTCCTTGCTCACGGATTTCCTGTGCTCGCTTCAAATATATCTAATAACTGGAAAAAAAAGAATATAAGTCCAACCTTGTCGCTTTATTTCTTCTCTTAATTGTGAATGATGTATAGAAAAGTGGTCGGGCCGCTGATACCACCCGTAGAGGCCAGACATCTCCTGCTAGTGGCGAGACATTGAGCAGATCGAGACGAGCATCCAACCACAACCTGGAAGGTTTTTTTGTATTTAAACCTGAAGTTTGGTAGAATGAGCACTGTTAGGACTTTTCGCTTTCAAAGATTTTTAGATGATGCTTAGATCGAGGATCTAGTGCGTAATTTGCTGCGAAAGGTTTGATGGTAGAACGTATTTTCTTGTGATTTGGCTAGCACCAAATAAACCTTTAGAAGTAGATTAGCCTGCTAGTTAATAATATCTGTTTGTAGGCGTTGTAGATGCGATAACATTTCTTATTTCGTTTTCATAGGTTTTTTTTTAAAAATGTTATAAAAGCATGGACTATCTCCTCAATGATTAGAACACTACTTTTCTTGCTCAGCATGAAACTCCTCAAGTAAAGCCAGGCTCAGCAGAGAAGTTGGCCCTTTGGCGCATAAAGTATTTTTTGAGAAATAGTAAGTTATAGAAAAAAGATTGGAAGAGAAGAAATAATGAGTACACCTGGATGAGATTGCAGGCATGCTGAATTAATTTGGTTGTCAATTAAAAATTAGAGAGAAATTTTTTAGAATCTTAGATATATTGACGGAAATTGATGAC